AGAGCATGATTCTTGAGAAAAGGCACAGGTTGAAGCACCAAAGCAGACACTGCGTTTGGGGAAAAGTGAGTTTGGTGTGGGTAGCACAGGTCCGTGGCAGAACTTAGCAGGAGGTGAGGGTAGGGTAAACTAGTTTTGAGGAAAGGTTACAAAGGACTGGGGTTTGAGCTTTGCTTGGTGGATATGAGAAGCTGTGGAGAGGGGTGATGTGACTCTAATCTCCAAGTGGAAAGACAGCTTGACTAAGTGCCCTCGCCACAATTCAGCTACTCCCCAGTGGTCAGGAAGAAAGGTCCTCTCCTTCTGGATCATTCCTCACATGGGCACTCCCACCACTCTTCTAACCCGAGCACCCTGACTCGGTGATGTCTCCTTCTATGCTGGAGCAAATTGTAGACTCCTCACTCCTGTTCACTGTGGTGTTCTGACCTGGTGTGGACGCTGGGGCCTAAGCCTGCCAGAGCAACCTCTAAGTAGAGACCAGTGGCGCTGTCCAGGGTGCTGAAACCGCCACTCCCAATTTTATTTCCAGTTGAATGACTGGCTCCCCTACCATTGTTTCATTCCCATTTTACAGATGAGAAATAGAGGCCCCCAAAGCTAGGAACTGAGCTTCTTGCCTTGCAGCCCTGGGTTCTTTCCCGCCACCCGAAAGCCCTAATATAACTCAGCAATGCATGCCCAAGTGATTCCATTCATGTTGCCATGCTGACATGTAAAATGTCCAGTCTCTCCCACCTCTATCTCTATGTCCCCTTCATCAATCATTGATAGGCATGTCCACCCCACAGTGCTGCTGAGACTGACCATGTAGGGTACTTGAGTAGATCTGCCTGAGTGTATGCTCTTGGCTTTGCTCTAGTGGGAGCCCATGGATGTAGCTCATCCTCACACTCTCCTGGAAAAGAGTGCTGTTCTCCGAGGACAATGCTCCTTCACTACTCTCCCAATTCACTAATAATTACTATAATTTTTATGGGTTGTCTACTGTGTTCCAGGCACTGAGACATTAACTTTCCATATGAAGTTTCTCACTCTTATGGCCAAGTCTCCTCTCTACAGAGGAGGAAATTCAGGCTTCAGCAGGCTAAATGACTTGCCAGTAGGCAGGGTGTGGATTGGAGGGCCAGACTATGAACTCAGATTTGTGTGTTTCCGCAGTGACCTGTCAATCAAAACCTGTCACCTAACATATGATAGTTCAGTGGCTTTCATTGCTACTGGCTTTGTGATCCTGGGCAAATGACTTATCCTGTTTGAATTTCACTCTCATTTGCAAATTGAGGAATGTGAAAGTGCACCTCCGTAGGGCTCCTGAAAGGAATAGAAACGAAGCATATAGCAAGGACTCCATCACTGTTTGCTGCTAATGTGAATATTATTTTTATTGGGCACAAGTTCCTTGATGGCTGGACGGGTGTCTGATGAGACTTTCCATATCCCCAGCTAGGAAGGTAGGAAGGAAGGAGCAAGAGTGTGAGGGCCAGCACATCCAGAATGCCAGATGGGACTTGCTTCTGCTCTATATTCCTGTGGCCTCAGTGGGTAGGGACCACCTCGCTGGAGCAGGCACATCACTGGGTAGTTCTGAACTACTGTATCAGCACTCCTCACATTTATGTTGAGCCTGAGACCATTGTCACCCTCAGAGACTGTGCTTTCATAGAGCTATCCCCACATCCTCCTTAACAAGCCCTTGGCAGGGAGAGGTCTGGTGGGATGGGATTGCTGAGGATGAGCCTTCACATCCATTACCACGTTGGCTACTCACATCCAAAAACAGGCAGGACTGATGTGCCTCCCATCTTACAGATGAGGAAACTGAGGCCCAGCAAGGTGAAGTGACAGGTCCAAGATTACTGAGCCTAGGATCAGGGTCTCCAAACACCCAGAAAAGGGTTATTTTAATTAGTCTCTAATTAACTGCCGATCCTAAAAATATCTTTTGTTGTTTTTTAAGTTTTTGTTAATCCTCACCTGAGGATATTTTCCCATTGATTTTTAGAGAGAGTGGAAGGGAGAGGGAGAGAGAAACATCAATGTGCGAGAGATACATTGGTTTGTTGCTTCCTGCATGAGCCCTGACCAGGCCCAGGGATCGAGCCTGCAACCAAGGTATGTGCTCTTGACTGGAATCGAACCTGGGACCCTTCAGTCCTGGGGCCGATGCTCTAGCCCAGCCGTGGGCAAACTACAGCCCGCGGGCCAGATTAGGCCCATTTGAAATGAATAAAACTATTAAAAAAAAAGACCGTACCCTTTTATGTAATGATGTTTACTTTGAATTTATATTAGTTCACACAAACACTCCATCCGTGCTTTTGTTCCGGCCCTCCGGTCCAGTTTAAGAACCCATTGTGGCCCTCGAGTCAAAAAGTTTGCCCACCCCTGCTGTAGACCGTGGTCCAATTACTACCCTCTCTGCGTCAGCCTCTCTAGGCTCCCCCAGGGTCCTATTTTCCCTTCTGAGGAGCAGTGACTAGGCAGGTAGCTGGAGGTAAAGACGGGGGAACAGGGAGGTGGGACTCCCAGGAGACCCATAGATAATGTACACAATCGGACCATAATAACCTCAATGAACCACCACCCCCAGCACTCGGGCATATGCACACACACACACACACACACACACACACACACACCACCTCCTTGCTCCTACTTTTACCTCATTTCCCCCAGAAGGGTGTGTCTCCTGACTTGGTCCATGGAGTCTGCATAATAGACCCTCTTAGAAGTCAGATAGTTTATCTCCCTCTATAAACTCGTCATTTACAGATGGTGGAACTGGGACCATGAGAGGCGAAGCCACATGCCCAAAGCCATAGAACTACCCCAGTAGTCAAGATGCCTCACTAGCAGGCTGGTGTGGTCAGTGAACTTCAGCTTCAGTCACCTGAGCTATGTGAGATTTTAATCCCAAACAACTTTCTCACCCAAACCCCAAACCTAGGCACTGCATTTTCCTATGGAAGTTATGGACAAAGCTCACATCAATCAAAGTAAATTAGAGATAAAACCTGCAGGAGAAACAGACTTGTTTCTTTTGAAGATGCCACTGGAGCTAATGTTCACCCAGCTTATCTGCACTGGGGAGGAGGAAGAGGGAGCGGAACTGAGTTTTGTTCTATAGACCAGAGGCAACCTGCCCACGAGACATGTCACCAGGCAAACCCACTCTCCTACAGTGCTAAGGGCTTCCCTGTAGGATCTCCACCTTGGCAGCACACTGGCCTCAACCAGACCATACCCAGACCAAATACATCTGCATCTGGTGGGGAGGGGGGGGGCGGGTGCTGAAAAGCTCCCCGGGTGATTCCAATGGGCAACTCAACTGGAGCACCATCCCCTTCCTATAAAGCCGAGGCCACTGATCAGCAGCACTGGTATCACCTGGGAGCATGAGAAATGCAGAACCCTAGGCCCCTCCCCAGATCTATGGGATCAGAACCCGCCCTTTAACAAATCCCACTGGGGATTTCTAAAGTCACTGAATCCTGAGAAGTGCTGAGGCAAGACACTTGACATCTCTACACCTGACAGCAACTTTGCGAGGCAGGTGCTCCATTCCACAGGCGAGGAAACTGAGCCTGAGAGAGGTTGACTTGCTGGCCCAAGGTCACACAGTTGGTGAGTAGGACAGCCTGGATGTGACCGTGGTTCCAAAGGCCATACTTCCTCCTGCGCAGACCACTTCCTACAGCACAATTAAAATATGGCCACGGGGGACCCCTGAGTTTTGGGGTCCTGAGACCCGCTAAGCAATTTCCACCTTTGAACAGGTTTGATTCCAGGGAATCAAACCTCATAAGCGCCAGCATAATTCATGAGGAAATACAAATAGTAAACAAACATGTGGGGAAAAGGTTCACGATCCCTAGTAATCAAAGAAATGCAGATTAGAGCAACATTTGAAAATGAGGAGCCATTTTCTAACTATGTAATTAGAAAAAAAAAAGAATGTTAGCAAAGTTGTTTTGAAATAGGTACATTCATATGCAGCTGGTGGCAGTATAGATTTATATAACCCTTGAGGAAAGTAATATGGTAACATCCATCAAGAGCCATAAATAATTATGCCCACTGACCCCGGGAATTCACCCTAAGGAAATCATTCAATAGGAGGGAAAAAGCTGTTTGTAGGGAGATGCTCCTTGCAACACTTGCTGGGAACGCTGAGAACAACTCTATGCATTGGGACTGAGTTAACTGGGGTGCACCAGCTCCCGTGGTGCTATGTAGCCATGTAGAAGGGTCATTAAGAAGCCCAACAGCAAATGTTGGTGAAAGAAAGCAGATGGCAAACTGCCCATGTGCACTGTGATTATTATGATGTGAAAATACAGATGTTCCTTGACTTACAATGGGGTGACGTCCCGACAAACACATGGTAAGTTGAGAATATTGTAAGTCAAAAGTGCATTTAATACACATAACCTACGGGACATCATAGCTTAACCTGGCCCACCTTGCACGTGCTCCGAACACTTACATTGGCCTACCCGTGGGCAAAATCACCTCACTGCTGCTGCCGGGCCTCAGGAGGGAGCACTGTAGAGCATTGCGCTAGCCCGGGTCAAGATCAAAATTCAAAGTGTGGTTTCTACTGAATGTGTATCGCTTTCACACCACTGTAAGGTCAAAAAGGTGTAAGTCAAACCACCGTAAGTTGGGGACCGTCTGTATTGTGTGGACATGGACAGGGGAGAGCTGGGCAACAAAGAAGACAACTGGTGTTTCAGGGTGAGGGGACACTGGACAGCACCCCTCCTTTTACTTTTGCAACGACACACCCCAGCAGAACTGGCCCTCTGAAAACAGCCTGAGGGCTCTCCAGTCACAGGCTCTGTGTCTGAGGGGGACACGGAGACACTCGCATTCCTTATCCCTGGGCACAGGGCCACACCCCCCGATTCCACCCCAACGCAGGAGGAGCTGGTGGCCCCTCTTCTTCAGAGTGAGGGTGGGGGGTACAGAGCCATGGGAGACCCCTCCCGTCTTACCATGAAGCCTGGGGCACAGGTGCAGCTCCCAGTGATGCTGTGGCAGTCAGCGCCGTTCTGACAGGCGCAGGGCAGCTGGCAGCCATCGCCGTAGTAGCCAGCGGGGCAGGACTCGTTGCAGTGGGGGCCAGACCAGCCGGGCTGGCAGGTGCACGCTCCAGTTACTGGGTGGCAGCTGAGCACATGAGAGAGGATGAGAGGATGGTCTGGTCAGGGATGCAGGCATGTCCCACCCCCTGGTCTGCCCCGGGGTAGCAGGATCAAAGGGTTTCTGAGGCTAAAGTGTATAATGTCTCATTTACTTGTCAGAAGACCCCAAGGTCATGGGGTCTTATTATCCCCAAGACACTGAGGCTCATGGTGGTTATATAATTTGCCTGAAGTCACATGGCAAGGAACTGACAAAATCAGGATTTGAATGCAGGTCTCTGGACCCCCAGACAAGTGCTCTTTATAGTACAAATACACAGAGACCAAAGCAGAAGGCAGCCTCCTCAGACCCTTCCCTTATGGACTGTGGAGTCCAGACCTTCTCCAACTCTGCACCCAAGACTGATGTCTGGTGTGGGGCAGGCACAAGAGGGTTTCTGTGAAAGCCAGCGGCGCGTTGCAGGTACTCAGTGAACGTTCGTTGAGTTAAACGACACCTCAGGGCACCCGGGGCCTCCCGTCTCTGGCTACGTCCGTCCGCACTGGAGAGGACCCTGTCTAGCTGTGCTTCGCCAGGGCCCCTTCCTCAAGCCTGAGGAGACTGCCTCCATCCCCTACCTGTCTAGGCCAGAGAAAGGGCCACTTGGCTACAGGCGGGAGCTGCCTGCCACGACCTCCCTTCACGATGAGAGGGGATGTGAGACGTGGTGACTGTGTGCTTCACAGGCTTCTGCGGGCGCGTAACTGGCCGATGGCCCCGGCTGCGGTGTCTGGACTCCCTCCCTGCACTTGCCCAGAGGCCACACTCTCCCTGGGCTGTTCCCAGCTAGGGCGCAGCGGGGATATTAAGGTCAGAGCACATTCCCGGGAGAGCTGGGACTCCTCTGGTGGGCAATGTTGGCTTAAAGACTGCCCGCCTTACCAAACTTTCCTGGCACGGGCGCTGCGGTCTAAGACCTCCCATCAGTCTTCCTTGCTTCCTTCTCTCCTTCCCACAGGTCAGACCTGCATGACAGTCTGATGGTGCCTACCCAGCCCCTTCCCCACTTCCCCTCACAGCTGTCTCCCTAGTAAATCTCTTGCACTTGGCAACTCCTTCTGGGAGGACTGAGACCAACACTCCAGAGAAGATGAGCCTCTTAGATTCCCTGTTACCTGCCTCCCTGCACCGGCGTCGTCAGCTGAAGGGATGTGGTTGAAAGAAGCCTGCTCCGGGCTGGCAGGAGGAGCTTGGGTACAAGTCTTAGTTCTGCTAAGTTCCCCAAGGACATGGGCTTTGTCTCCCCGGGTCACTGGTGGATCTCCAGTGCCTGGCTTGTACTCACGGCCAATTAAATATTTGGGAATGAATAGTACTTTCACTATAAGTAATTATTTTCTGTGTCTGCTGACTTGGTGTCATATG